CAGACACTGGTGACTTGCCCAAAGTTTCCTCTGTGGCACAGCTCAGCCCCGGGTGGCAGCTCGGAGGAGACCGTTGCTGCAATTTAAATCATCTCATAACAAACAGGCAGGCCCTAGGAAAACCTCCTTTTTCCAGACAAAGGAAAAAGTGGTTTGCCGTTTGTAAACATTACTTTCCACTTACCTTGTCTCTTTGAACTTTCTAGACTAAGTACGTAACGCACTTAAATTTGAAACTACAGCGTTTATTTTCAGTTATAAGCTATTTGAGGAACTGCTTTCTTAAGTTAAGACTTAGGCCCTGAGTCTTTAAGGGCGTCAGTTTCCCGCAGAGCTCTAACGCGGCTTATTAAAGCCATGACTATTGGAGGAAGTCAGTGAGTATACTTAGGACAGACGTTTTGCAAATATTCTAGTTGCTTTTAACGTTCTTATCGGAGAAAACATTGTCTTGTTAGGAGGGAGCTCTGACTGCGTTTCGTAAGACTTACGACAAAACTGTGGCACTGGGACATCGTCTGGATATCGTGTTCTATCTTCTAAGGATTGGCTTGTTTTATATGGATAACGACCTCATCACACGGAACATTGAAAAAGCAAAAAGGTACGATTTGGGTTGTTGGAGTGCACTAAAACGCTTTGAGACACAGTGTAACAAAAGGAATTGAAGATAAATAACTTGCTGTCAAGAAATGACTGAGAGTGGTTGTGAGGCAATCAAAGAGCAATACTCTGTGTACTAGAGAGTTTCCTATTCCCAGATCTTATATGAAGAGGAAGAGAAAAGAAAGAATATTCTGTGTGAGCTATTTTCCAGCAGCTGACTTGATTTGGATTTGTAGCCTACCTTTCCGCCCTTCTGTTCTGTAGCTGTTAGAAGACAAATAACTTCGGATGTAATTACATTGTATAACAAACTGCAGTGCAGGAACACCAGGTGAATCCAGCTGATGCCACCAGTGCCATGCAGTTGGTTTAATGGAGTGCCAGCAAGATCCTTGCTGGGTGCAAGTGCCCTTCTCTCCTTTCCACTGCTGGCTTGAGTGTGTCTGTGCTCTCAGCATTTTGAACTTCATGGTTACTGTAGCAAGCTGAGGTTTCCAGTCTCTTGGCAGGTGCCATGAGACACCAAGGCAGAGGTCTTCTCTTTTATAATGTGCCTTGGGCACTGATTTTTTATTTTTATTTTTGTATTGCCTTCTCAACAGGTCTTGCATATAGTTACATCAACATTGTGTTCGTCTGATTCTTGAAAGTTAGGTTGTTTCAATGGTAATTCTAAAATTTTAATATGGTGCTAGTTAGACAACCTTGATTTTAGTAGCAAAGGCAGCAGAAATATCTTTCTGTGGCTGAGGTCGACAGTAATATTTAGATGCACATCTCAAAGACTATCAGTACAACTTTAGAGGCCGTGAGCTGTTTTTCTTTGAAACTTGTGCTCTGCAAACACTACTGGCCTTTCCTGTCCCAAGGAAGCCACTTTCTTTCCCCGACGGGTATATGAAACCTGGCCTGTTTCAACAAGTTGTAACATAAAACTAAAAATCCTTTCCTTAATCATATGGCAGCACTTTATCTACTGTACTTGTTTCATATAACAATATAAGTAAATATTTCTTTTTGTTCTGTTTTAAGTCTAATAGAAGAAGGAGGAGACTGGGACAGGAGAAATCGTCTAAAGGTGTACCAGGGTCTTTACTGTGTCGCTATTCGAGATTTCAAACAAGCAGCGGAGCTCTTTCTTGATACAGTTTCAACGTTCACATCCTATGAACTTATGGATTACAAAACATTTGTAACATACACTGTCTATGTCAGCATGATTGCATTAGACAGGCCTGACCTTAGGGAGAAGGTAAGGAAGGCAGATGATAATGCTGGTTCAAACAGACCCCCCAGTCTGTCTTTAACCTGTTTATTTCCTGGCTGAAAGTAATAATATTTAAACATGTTTGATTGCTTTCAGGTTATTAAAGGAGCAGAGATTCTGGAAGTTTTGCATAGCTTGCCAGCTGTACGACAGTATCTCTTTTCTCTTTATGAATGCCGTTATGCAGCCTTTTTCCAATCGTTAGGTAAGGCTATGTGGTTTCTCACAACGCTACATTGAAGTTGCTATAGCTATTTGTTTCACATCATGCATAGGTTTTGTGGAGCAGCTACGTCCTAGAACTAGAGGTATTTATGGACAATTATAGATGATGGGGTTTATTGTTTTGGTGTGCTTTTTTGGCAGCAGTGACTTAATATTTGCTTGATATTTGTTTGAATTCAGGCGCTCTGTCAAAAAAACATCACGTACAATCTTATGAAAGGTCACATCTGAGTAGACAGAAAAGAGTTTTTGAAGTAGCTATGGAGTACAATCTTACCTGATGAATCAGGTCAAATGGGAAAGCTCTCATCTTTGAAATAAGTTGTAGGCCTAAGAGCCTTAAATTATGCAGTTCCCATTCTGAAATCTTAACCTGTAAAAAGAAGTTACGTAGGAAGTTTTCATAGTTGTTAGTTACAGTGGCCTTTCTGATTCAGTTTCTACATAAAATGATGAAATGAAGGAAAAGCTCTTCAGAAAACTTTCTAGTTCTCAGACTGCTGGTTTTCCTGCTGTGAGATTTAGAATAGCAGGAAATAAGATGTTTAGAAACAGCAAAAAGAACCCTTCATTTTGTGGAAGTGCAGGCATGATGAGATTAAAAACTAACAGCAATATTTTTCTATTGCTGGTCTTAGCACAAGCTGAAAACTAAAAGTGTCAGGGAAAAAAAAGTCACTTCTTCAGTGCCTAGTAATCATCATAGCTAATTTCAGAGCCCCTACCAGAAAGTTGATCTTACTCCCTTACCCAGCCTTGGGTAAGAATATTTCTTCAAACAGATATATGCCAAGTACTGTTTGTGTCTCAGTACTGCATTATTCCTATGGGACGACAGATTCCAGCACGAGCTAGTGAGATGGTCCCACTACAGTACAGGAGAGATGCTAGCCCACGTCCTGAAAGTAGTGTTCCAAGCTGAAAACCAGGGTAATTAGCTTAACCATAATATTGTTTGCTTGTTACTGCTGATTATGGTTATAGAACTAGTAACAGATTTTACTAACTTATTTTTGTACAGTGTAAAATACCTTACATACCCTGAAGTACACAAGAATACAAATATAGCAGAATACGTAACACCAGTAAACAAGTAATCAGTGTGAACATAACTATTTACCTAACTGATATTTTACATTTCTTGCAGACATTACAGACTGAATTTCTTTTCTTTCAGCTATCGTAGAGCAAGAGATGAAAAAAGATTGGCTGTTTGCACCTCACTATCGATACTATGTACGAGAAATGAGGATTCATGCATATAGCCAGCTCCTAGAGTCTTACCGGTCGTTGACATTAGGATACATGGCAGAAGCGTTTGGAGTCAGTGTAGAATTTATAGATCAGTAAGTTATTATTTGGCTTTTTGAGTTTATAAATATCTTTCTTTATGCATTTTAACTATTTGCAAAAATCTCATTACAAATACAAATCTTTGTTTGACTCTAAACATGCCAAGTTATGTTTGTATGGAAGAGCTTGGCTTTTTTTTTTTTTTTTTTTTTTTTTTAAAAAAAAGAACCTCATGTTTCAGTAGAGAAAATAATTTGACTGTAGTCTCTGGTAATGATTGTTCCAGTATTTCTTTCTGGAGGACTTCTTTCTCTGAGGATTGTATGAGAAATTAGTCTTTTATTAATAGCTTTGTTTCTTATACTGGTATTTCTGTGGCCCTTCTGTGGCCTGAAAGTTAAGATTTTGGAGGACTATTGTTAATTCACAACACTGCCAAAACTTAAATGTTCCAGCTTTTAGTATCCTCACGTTATTTTGTGCCCTACAACTTCTAACTGGTCTCCTCACTTAGTTTTTGCTTGCTTTCTGGTACAGGACAGGCGGACAGGATCTGATGCTTTTGACTTTCATCAGGTGTACATAGCATTCTCAATTTGCAATTCTCTTTCTAGTGCAAAAGCAGTGAGTTTAGGTCATAATGAGAACTAACATGAAGTGCGAAACTGACTTTTACATCTTGCCTACATACATGGAACACTTTGCTTGAAACACCCTCACAAGAATCATTCTTTCAGAGAGAAGTTTCAGATTTTCTACCATCAAAAAGTGTTACAGAGATATGAATACTGCTTGAGATATTCAGAAAGGAATTAGCAGGTGTTTCAAGAGGAACTAAATACCATTCAATTACCAGTTAACAGAGATAAATGTTTCTAAGTCATACCAGTTCTTTTGCTTCCCAAAAACTTGCTAGTTGTTGGAACTTGTCTTACTGTAGATCACATGAACCTTTCCTTGTACTACCAGGAATGTGCTTACTATTAAAAGTGTGTTTTTTCTAACCAGTTTTACAGGGTTGTAATAAAGACTAGTGTATTCGCTTGTCTAATCAAAAAGGAAAACACAGTAAATCACAGATCCCAATTAATAACATTATGATTTAAAAATTACATTTTTCATGAAATAAAGCTGTAGACCACCCATTGATTAAGCAAAACAAAAAAAAAAACCCAGCATATTTAGAGCTACTGGAAAATAAGTATTGACAGATTTTAATCAATTAAGTGGCACAAAGATATTTACATCAGGATAAATTCTGAACGTGCATGCTCTGTGACTGCTGCCTTTGAATTTGAACATCAGTTGATGCTGAACTGAATCTTACTTTCAAGAGAAAGAGTTTGGCCTGAGAAGAAAATACTGACCTAAAAGTTTTGTATCCACATTGCTAGTGTGATTATGCTAGTTCTTAACATCAGTACATCCAAGCTTTAATAAGATGAGGGTGTCCTTGGGAAAATATACAAGCTGTTGCTTCAGAAATACAGTGTACTGAAAATGTTGTTGTGTGGTAACATGTTCTGTGCTGCTAGGCCTACGGTTCCGTGATGAAACGTGACCAATTTCCTTTCTTTAATTAGGGAGCTTTCAAGATTTATTGCAGCTGGGCGATTGCACTGCAAAATAGACAAAGTAAATGAGATTGTAGAAACTAACAGGTATGCTATCAATTCCTATCATTTGTTTTTGACCGTCCTCTTGAATTTTGTATGTTTTGATGACCCTTATTACAGAAACGTAAGTGGCTGGGTGTAAAACATACTCTCACTTCTGAAATTTTTTTTCCATAAATTCTAGGCCTGATAGCAAGAATTGGCAGTACCAAGAAACCATCAAGAAAGGAGATCTGCTGCTAAACAGAGTTCAGAAACTTTCCAGAGTAATTAATATGTAATTTTTTTAATGCAGGGGAAGGGAATGCAAAATTTAGATGTTTAAAAACATTTTGGAAGTAACCTATAAATATATTATATAACTTGGTATACCATAGGTAAGAAAATTACTAGTGAGAAAAGTAGTGTTTTTACAGTCCTCTTCATTATGTAAACAACGTTCCATTTTGGTGTATGGATCCCAGTTCATTTATTAAATGTATGATACAGTTGATGATCTTTTGTAGTATATTTTGTTCCTTTGCTTGACTGTGTATACAATGTTCAGCATTTAATAGCAAAGCAGTATCAAGATCTGCGAGCAGAAAGAACTAACGGCAATCCTAGGATTGCTTTTCTAAGACTAATATGTTTGAATCAAAGGTGAAAACAAACAGTCACACAATAGAAACTGTAGTAAAAGTAGCCAAAAAGGTTAGCTGGGATTGAGCATTGTCCAGACAAAATGACTCTTGTTATGAAAAGTTTACAGTTTAAGGGAAAAGGGATAGGGATGCAAATGATTGTGGTGGAGCAGTAGTAGCAGATCATATGGCCTATACCTTTGGGAACGTGGTCAACTAAAGTAGCCTGTCCTTTAAAATGGCATTTTTGCTAGCTGTTAAAGAGAAAGTCAGTGCAATACGAAAGCATTACATTTGAAATTACTTCCTCTGTTAGATTTGCAGATGTGAAAATGATGGTAGGAACAGTGGGAAGATACTATTGCAGTTTGACACAACTGATCAAATACTGTAGAGGGTTACAATTTCTTTCTTCACAGCTGCCAAGGAATAAATGTTTCAAGTAGGCTGCTGCCATTCTGATGACACATGGTTTCTGTCCTTAGCAGAGCCTAAAGCAGCAGCTGTTTACTCTGCTTTCTTGGCTTGGCTTGAGATCTTTTTCAAAGGAGAAAGTCTGTAACTTGGTTCCGTTAGCTGTTTGATGCCAAAGCACTTAGCAACAGAATCCATTTACTGTCTGTATTCATTGCAGCTTTAATGCTTGAAGTAATACAAACAGGTAGATATACCCAAAGAAGTATCCTGACATTTGGAAACTAAAAGCGCAAGTGATAGGATAGCATGGGACTTCATGTTCCTGCTCTGCTTACTCTGAGATCTCAGAGGAACTCCCATCTTTGAATCACTGCCACCTGTCTCAGGTTAGACTCCTCAGCAACTCTTCTGAAACCCAAAATAGAACCTATTGGGGTTTTTTGGTTTTCTTTTACTACTTACTAGAAGCTTGATTTTTTTTTTCCAGGTAGTAGCTATTAACTAATGATTAAAGATACAAATTTTAGACTTTACTAATTAGAAGAAAATTCTGATCTTCAATTTATTTAGAATAGTGTGAGTGATAAAGGAGAACCCTACTTTGTTGACGGTGTGATTGGCTAACCGTTCCATATTTTGTCTGTTCACACATGTATCACTTCCTATGCAGTTTTAATTAACTTAGGCCAATATTTAGAGCTGCAGTAATCTCTTGTGATTTTCCTAGAGCTCTTCCATATCAGATGAAGTATAGCAAGCTGGAAAGACTTTGAATCTGGCTACCTGTTGGTAACATTATTTCCACCTTCAATTCATTTACATGTTAAATGTATCAGCAGACCATACTACAAATGGTATAAGCCATAAGCCTCACTAAATCGAGACACTTCATTTCTGGTGCACAGATTAATTTTCCTTTCTAACATATGTGTAATTCAACCAGCCTTAAGTAGCAAAATCAAAACTTTATGAAATAAATCCGACCTCCACTCAGCTTGTGTATTGTTCTCTGTATTTTTAACTATAAAACAAAGGGGATAAAAGTTTCCCCTCCTCAAGGGAATTATACAGACTTCCTTCACTCAGGGGAAATCTTTCTGCTGTTTTAGTGTACGTAAGTGCAACAGAAGAAGAATGGAAGCGTTGTTGTCTATTTTGTGAGGAATAGAAGAGTATTATTACTAAAGATCCTTTATGTGCTGTAAGATAGATGTTTGCAGAGCTTTCACTTTTTTTTTTTTTTTTAAATTGTAATCAACAATAGCATTCTATTGAAGCCAGGCGTTTTAGAATCTTGTGTTACTCTGCTCAGGTACACTAATTGTACAGAAGAATTATTAAAGAACCTCTTTAAGATCCTGATCTGCCTTGCTCATTTTCTGATCCCAGCCTCTTTCTGCAGAGGAGGATTCGGGAGGAACCTGCAAGGCTTCTTGACTAAGCTTGTTGGGCCAAGAGCTGGCAGAAGAGAGTCATAGCAATTTTACCTTAAAAATTTTGGGGCTTCCAGCAACCGCTTAGCCTCTCAGCCATGCCAAATGGTGGTAAGACTAAATCCTGTCCAGTTGTATGGGAAGGCAACACCTCCTCAAGTCCACAGCTGGATGCACAGAAGGTAGCAAGGGTGACATCTTACACTGCTCTCCTGAAAGAGGAAAACAATCCTGTACATAGTCTTTTTTCAGACATTAGGAAGGCTGAGGGGGTTGAGGGCAGTCAGGCCTTTAATGGATCAGATGAGAGCCCTGATCAATGACCTAATGTTCTCTATTTTACCAGTTCTAATTGCCTACTTCAATGTACATTTCAGAAGTGATAAGGTTTGTGCTTCCTTTAAACCTTGAAATAACTTCCAATTAGCTTTTATTGTTCCATTTTACTGGGGTTTTTTTTCCCCCCTTTGGCTTGTTTCTTCTCATGATTTCTGTTTATTATAATTCTGATTGAGTGGCACTCTAGACATATCCTTTCTTGACACCTTTCCATGGATTTAGTCCGCATGCCAAAGTTGTACATTCTCTCTCATAGTTCAAGCCTGATGCCGATCCTTAAGCTAATGCCGTTCTCTGAGCCCGCTTTGGAAGGCTGACTTCATACTAGCAGCGAGGTAGCCTGAACCAGAGGCAGATTTCAAGGTGCAGCCTCAGAGAGGCGCTTGCCACCTGATCTGCAATACATTTCACTGTCATTAGCCTGTGGGGACACGGGAAGGAAGGAAAGAAGATACAGGGTGTTGCAGGGTTTGTCTGTAAGGTCCTCAACAAAGTGGTTGCACACAGACTAGATCGCAAACATTCTTTGGCTTATCTGTCTTATCTTTTGCTAAAGATTGGGCTCCAAAGCTTAAGCTCGTCTGTGAATATAACTGACACACATGGCTTACCTGCTTCATGCAGATGACCAAGTAATTCTCTGGATAGTTTTCCATCTTCCCTCTCATTGCTGGACCCCCTTTTAGTCACTGATGTAGTCTTGCTAACAGCAGCCAAGTCACTCATTTCTGCAAAAATTAACCTACTGTGGACAGGAAAGGATGCAGGTGAACAGTGCTCAGCTGCAACACTGAGGCCAAAGAAAGTTTCCAACACTGAGAAGCTTAACCAAGCAGCAGCTTAAGTTTAAGTAAGCCCTTGCCGATGCTTAACAGAGTTTCTGCATGGATTTAGCTACCAATGGTAACCACAGCCATTTCTTGCAGCCTTGGACAAGCCCTTTTGACCGCATTTCTCAGGCTAGTTTTTAAATCTTCTGCAAAAAGGTTTGAATCCAGGTGAATTTGAACGACTTTTCAGAAAAGTTTTTGAGACTCCCCTGAAGTTTGGTGCACCGCAAAAACAAAACCAAAACAAGCATATGCTGTTTTTCTGCAACAAAGAGCCCATGCTGCTTATTAGGAACAAATCCAATAGCTAACGTAGAACTGAGCCAAAGCACTGAGAAAAGTGTTCAGTCAAATTAAGAGTCCCATGGTGGATCATACAAGCCACGTGTGTTTGATTATTTGTTGCAGCAGAACATGATAATAAAGAATGAACCAATGGAAATTTGCATTCAAATAAAGCCAATTGCAAGCTCTGGTATTGGTTGCTTCAGCAGTTGGCATACATAGTGGCAGGCCACAGAACGGCTCAGCTCACAAAGGCAATGGCTGGCAGGGCAGGCCAGGCCACTGCCGGCCTCACTGGAGACCAGTGCGTGTGCAGCAAAGGCACAGAGCCATTTTTGCACTCTACCTCCAGAGCTGCACATGCAGCAGGTGCAGGCCCAGGATCCTGGTCTGATTTTTTTTCTTGAAGGCAGCCTTTGAGCCCCAAAACGTCTCCACCACGGTAAAGGTTGACATCTTCAGGCTGGAAGGACACATCACCGTCTTCCATTCTAAATGCAAAGGGCAACTACATAAAAAGCTGCCTAAAAGATGCACGCAAAAACACAGAGAACCTTTGACATTTGGATTTGCGTTTTGCCTGCGTTACCTGTGGGGCGCTAACGTCTACATCACTGAATAACTATTCCTGAATATAAACTGGCATTTTCCTATGAGACAACCAGTGGCAGGAGAGAAGATACTTTTTACCGGAGGGAAGTCAGTGCTCGCTGGGTTCTACGCCAACATCTACTTAGGAAGCGTTTGTCAGGACAAGCCTACCAAACCTATTGAGTCCTTGGGAGAAACAACACTCCACAAAGGATGGATGCTCTGCTCTCTCCCTCAGGGCAGTGCACCCTGCGAGGGGGCAATGCTCAGGGAGTGCCAGTTACCAGTGCCTAACACAATGAGGGAAAGCAAGGGAAGAGCAAAGATGCTCTGAACATGCAGAGCTGTGAGGTACCTCAAAGAGCTCGGAGCTGTACAGAATAGAAACAGCCTTTTTCTCTTTCTTCACGTGCTAGTTTTAGGGGGATACATTATCCACGTTTAGAAGCAGCTAAACATAGAGCTGATTCTTCAGTTTTGAATGGGAGGCAGGTAGCACAGTTACAAACTCGCCTGAATTGGCTGACGACCAAAGAGCACTAGCTCAGCGGTGTGAACTCACGTCTCCCACGCACCTCGTGGTGCCGTCACCTGTAGAGCCCAACAACACAACTTCAGTGCCAATGGCTCATAGGACAGAGCAGAAATGAGTTTGCTACTAGAAAAGAAAAACGTTTGCAGCAAGGTGAGAACACCTCTAGCCAACACAAAAGTTAACATCGATATAGAAACATTACAAGTACACATATAAAAAGACAAAACAGGACCTGCTTGCTGCCTGCCACCATTTCTCTCTTGTAGCACTTATTCCAAATGCTACCTTCTAAGGAAAAGCTGGTTCCCTTTGTGTTACAAGAGTGAAACACCGGAAGCATTGCCCTTGGATATAACTACAAAGTCTTATTCCGCTAACAGGAGGGGCTTTACCAGTTTTAAAAACTGTTCTCAGAAGTCATGCACCACGTGTGATTGTCCTGAATCAGCCAA